GGGGTGTTGCGGTTTCGATGACATCAAAACGTCACTGGTGGAAGAGGCGATCCCAGCTCCACTCCCAGCACGATGGGTGGTCTAGAGCACCAGTGACGTGTGATGACATCACCTAAACCGCTCCGCCCTTCAGTCATCGTGATGACTGCCTAAAAGGGACCAATGGGCTTTATATGCGTAGAAGTCGACCGATGTAAACGACGACTGCATGATGGAGGCTTCCTTTCAAGGACAAGCGGGAGCTTATTTCTTCAAGAAGTAAGGGCTAGCAGATAAAGTATTTACTCTATCCGAGTTAACTATTACTATAGCACCCTATGAAATCTAGAAAATTGCTGCCTTTCACTATACCGCAAAAAAATGTTCAAACTTCTTCAGCAGAAGGTTATCATACCTGGTCACAGCCTCCATTATCAGTCTTACAAAGAGAAGCGGTGATAGCGTTGCAGATTTGATTCCTAGTTCGAACATCATTCTCGGACGCAAAGACTCGCAAGGTTCCTGGGACTCGACGATCGCTGACGACCGGTTCGATAACGCCACCAGAATCCTGAAGAACCCTTTGAACTCCAACTTCTTCATGGTTCTTGAATGCATTGAGCTCTTACCTTGTTCAATCGGAATACACCATTGCTCAGCGGATCGCTCAAATACAGCCATTCATCCCAGATGTCAAGTGATTTGGCGCGATATCCTGCTCCAATCACCTTAAGAGAGCTGATCATTAAGTAGTCTATGAGCCTAGAGCGTTGCTTACCTTTCTGTTATTTCCGTCGTAGTCGCTGCTCTCAATATTGAGGCGATTCACATCAGCCCAGTAGATTCTTAGGTTCCTGGAAAACGCTTGATATTTTACGGAAGAAAAGGACCAACAGAGCTCTTTTCTTCGCACCTGAAGTCCACCGCGATAGCAGCCGGCAATGAGACACTCTCCCTTACAATGACTTTCCGGTTTCCTCCAGCCATGTTAGAACGCTCAATTCGAGGTTCATAGAGCCCTTCAAATAACTCGGGACTATAATTGCACGAATACACAGAATTACAGAAGATGCAAACCTCCAGATGCCTTGTAGCCACTGTCACTCCAGAAAATCAAACCGCTGCAAGGATCCAACGCCAACGCATAGGTCCAATCTCCAGAGGCGATCTGAGAGCAAAGGGATGTGTTCCACAAGGAAAAATTAGCTAAGTTGACATGAGGCGATTAAACTCCGAAGCTTTTTATTTATTCATGTATTTATTTATTTATTGGTCAATCACAGACACGGTATAACATAGCTGTTATCACTTTTTTCACAACCGGTTGATTTCACTTCAAATAGTCTAAGGAAAAAAAATGTGATGAAACTCCATAAGACCCCACTATGATAGCTGGAAGGCGAAGTCAATTTGTAGACTCCATTGGTGAGCGGGGAGCGGGGCAGTGAAAGGCATTGTGACGAGATAGAAAAAGGTATGGTCAAATCGGGTTTCTACGGTATCCATCACTGACGTACCCTCCTCTTCAAAAAGCCAGAAAGTGTCGGGTGCAGACCATACACCACAAGTGACGACGGCCTCCAAAATGCAAAATTTTTTGCCAATGAAATGATTAGCCTGTTGCAGTTGTATTCTATCAGTTGTCACTAATTACAACTATCATTTACCAAAAATCAGCTATCACTATGAACCACTACTAACCAGATTTACTTGGAGGCCGTCGTCAGTTGTGGTGTTTGGTCTGCACCGACACTTTCTGGCTTTTTGAAGGGGAGGGTACCTAAATCGACTCCGCCAACCAAGCAAAGCAAACAAGAAAGGAACAAAAAAAGAAAGAAAAACAACTAAGAAAATATAGAGAAGAAGGAAAGGAAGGGAAGACATAATTTTTTCCAGCTTTTCGAAAAGAAAAGGAAATATCAATACACGGTATGGAACAAATCTCAAACTACAACACTCACCGTGCTAAGGTGCTCGCCTTGCGCATCGATAGACATGACTTTTCCAGCGCGTCCTGTAGTGAAGTAGACCTTCTGGGTGAGCCAGTCAAGTTTCATATCAGATACATGGCGAATATCGGCGGCGTGCTGAAACCAGGAGACTCGATTATTCTAGCAACCAGTACTTAGCTGTAAGCACGAACTCATCGGCTAGGAAAAAAAGGAAAACCAAAGCCGTTGAGGATTGAATCACTTGTGAGTCAAGACAAAGGTTGGAATCAGGAGACTAATCCAGTCCCCTCTCGAACACCGGTTACACACCCACAAGGATGACACTTCGCTCGCAATCAAAAAAGCGCGGTGGTAAAGCTCTCGGATAGTACTGTTAGCTATCGCCGCCTGGCGTTAGCTATGACCGCCCACCGCGGAGGTATGCGTGGCTGGCATAGGGCGTGAAATCAGCTGGGTTGATTGCCGTATCAACTGCTGGCACGGAGCCAGCAATGGCTGCAATCCCGAAAACTGTTCGACAAGCTTCCTGCTATGCCCGCCCTCTTCGCTGCTGTTGAAGAGGAGGTTTCTATTTTCGGCCTTGTCGACGATTTCTTTTCGTTTTTTCTTCACTGTCGTTCCATTCGCATCTCTACACTCAGTTTCAAGCGCCATAATACCCCAAATCTAGCCCGACCTTTGCCCTTAAAGCATCTAAGCCAGTGGACCACTCTGGGAAAGGCTAATCACTGAAACTTTCAGTATTACATCAACACGTGCCAAGGACGTGGGTGAGCTAACCCGCAATTCTCAAATGTACCATTCTACTTTTTAAGTATATAATGATTCTAATTTTTGCTCAGATATCTCGAGTCCTTCAAGAAAAGGTTTAAGTGTAGTAGGTCACAATCCCTAAGCTAACACGGAGGCGGAGTTATGGTGACGACAAATGGGCCAACCTTCTGTTTATTTGTTCCAAGAATCAGCCTGGGATTGTCGGCATTGTTCATGCTGAACCAGCTAATGTTAACACCTGACGGCGACTCGGTAACGAAGTAGACACGTCTGAGATTCACGTCGACATCGAATACTTGCAGATTATCGATTGCTGGGAATGGTTCCTGGAAATTGAGGTAATATTGGAGTTACGAATAGATATGGCTGATACTCCTGGAGGCTCGGGATAAATTCCCAAAACTAGGAAATTCACCTTCAGAGGGCGGCTGGCCTTAATGTCGGGCTCAATGGATGCGTCGACGATCTTATCGCCGTCGGTGAACATCAAATACGTGTCTGGTTCTTCACAAGTACGTCCTTTCAGGATACCTTAAAGTCGACCTTAGAGTGACCTACACAATCACAAAGATCACAAAGGGTAGAAACGGGAACAAACCTCTTGCGCAGGCGCAGCTAGGGCTCTGCGTGCCTGGTGACGAGAAGCACAGCTGTGGACATGGGCTTTTACGGAGGTTGTCAGTAATCTGACAAGGAGAAGAGCCTTTTGGTTGATTCTCTGACGAGAACACAACGACATCTCCCAGATCCTTCAGTGATGCACGGCCACTGTGGTTGGTGAAAGGGAGCAATGAGGTCTGGTTGGGTTTACTGAAAAGAAAGCGATATGTGAATGATAGTCTTCTTTTTCCTCTCTACTCCTGCTTACCTGGAAGCTCTGAACACCTTCTCCAGCCGGTTGTCGGTCCAGAACATTTGCTGACCAATTAGTGAAATGCCAGCAGCGGATGCGATATCGGATCTGACGAGTTCGGGAGCACCACCACTTGGGCGAATTCTGCAAGATACTTTAGCCTCGAACGGTTAGTTGCAAGAAGTACAGTTATCACCTGCGAGATGCCCGCTCCATTCTTGGCGTCCGCCCAGTAGACCATACGACTAGCAGGATCCACGATGACATCGGTTGGTTCAGAGACATGTTCTGCTCCGACGACCACCTCCCGACGAGTTCCATCAAGGAATGCGCGCTAAATATTTTTGAGTCTGGGCTATGGATGAAATGACCAGAGTACTAGGATCATTACCTGGATGCTAGGCTTTTGGCCTTGATCAGCCCAGTACAGAACGTCCGATTGGGTCAACGCTATCGAGCTGGGCGTTTCGGTCTTTGTTGTGAACAAAATTTTTCTGCAAAATGAAAACGAATTCAATTTCGAATAGTCTTTTCAAAATTCAAAATTGCAATTGAGGCCTCAATAAACCGTGCGTCTTCAAGAACAAGAACAATGGCCTATCAAGCACAGTGTCAACCGTCCGTCCGCACTATTCGAACAAGGAACTCGCATTTGTGATTTTGGAGAGGGGTCCCATTTTGGAAGTTGGGCAAGGCCAATTGCCTCTCAGAAACGTGTGAACGGGGGTCGCAAAAGGGGGAGGGGGTTTCGCTCAGTGGGACGACGAATTTGATGGGTTTGCGTCGGTTGGCGAATGGCCGAAGTTTCGTGAAAGTCATGTTAAACGGGACAAACTTGGTGATCTGCTTTCTTCATGCATTCGTCCGCCCGCTCATCGGTCTAGAGGAAATTTGAGCAGGTGGCGAAGTGGCGAATTGCTTCTGTACTTGTCTCACGAATGAAATCCGATAGAAACAGCCCGCGATCGATGAGGTGCTGGTCCGATATTAGGGACAGCTGTGTTATCGAAGAGCATTCAGAGTGATGGTTGAGGAGCGCAGGCCGATGTCAGACTTTGCGAATCGCGCGATTCGCTAGCGTCCGCGGTCGCGTTGCGGTACCAGCCAATTGAGTGATTCACTGGCCGCGACGCGACCGCAGACGCTAGCGAATCGCGCGATTCGCAAAGTCTGACATCGGCCCGCATTGAGACCACTAAGGTGTGTGTGGGGGATGGGGGGGTGGATAAAGCACAAAATTTTTGGATAAATGCGAACCCGGCGGCTGACAATGCTATCAGCTGAACCTTTTGATGCTTTTATTGTCCAAACTACCAAGAATTGCGTACCTGTACTGTCCATCCAGTTTACACACTTCGATATTCGTCCTTTCCGAGTCCTGATTGATGAAAGTAAGAGATTGAAGTTAATCCAATCGACAGCGATACTGCGGATCGTCATCGAACCGAACGTGTCACGAACAATTGTCGAGGAGCGTGATTCAACATAGCATTATCTGAAAGTATTCGCAATTTACTTCTGACCCAACATATATCAACCAGAATGCTTCGCCTTGTCCAGGGACGGTAGAATTGCCAAAAAAGTTGTTGAATTTTTGACTTCAAGAAACGATTTGAATCAAATATGAAAGCAGAGCTGTAAGATGGTGCGCTGTAGAATTGCAGATTATAAGCCGTCGAGAGTGGAACCTTCATTCTGAGCGTTAGATTTAACCAATAGACCGCTCAAATGCAACACAGAACATTACGGAGGACAGCATATGAAAGAAGTTGGAATTTTCTCTCATACTCTCAGAAGAAGTAGGAATAAAGCCTATTTTCTTTGTTTTACTTTTACTTTTTTGGCGTTGAGCCATGGACAGGTGCGTGCTAAGTTCACTAACACACCCATTCCTCGCTTGACTGAAGGCACAACCCAGGCAGAAGTCGGGGCCATTCTCGGCAATCTTTGGGATAGACCCCTAGAGGGCAATCACAAAGTGGCATTATCGTGCATGGGAATCACCCGACCAGGGCCTTGCAAAGTAGCTGCAGCAGCTGCATTTTTTCTTTATCAGGCTGTTGTCTGGCGCCCTCTCATCTGTTGCGCTCTCTCTCATACTCTCCTCTCCGCGCTTAGTCTCTCATTCCCTTAGCACAGCCGATTAGGAAGGTGAGTGAGCCCTTAACCTAAGCGTTTTCGACGGATTTTTTTCCTTTTTTCTTTACTGCCGGCCCATTTCGCACCAATACATTCGCATTCGTGTGCAAGAACCACACCAATTTGATCCAGAGCTATGCCTTTAACAATCAAAAATCACTGTACTCACGCAGTAATACCCTTGTTGATGCCGGAAGCTTCAGCAACGAAGATGGTTTTGCTTTCGAATTCGAAATCGATCGACGTAATCGATAAGCCTCCAATCGGATCCATTGCAATGCCTTTTTGACGGGAGTCGTCCAAACTAAACAGAGTTCCAGCTAAAGACTCAGAAATGTCAGCAGTAACGGAAAACTTACGGATATCCGACGACTTTGCTCTTCGTTGCCACCATGACAAATGACTCATCGAATAGCTTGCAACTTGTCTGGCCGTCCTGAACAAACGATATAAGGAGCGTCGCAGCAAATTTTCGAGCCCCTCGAGCATATTTCTAGGCTTTGTTCACTCAAGTAGGATATGGAGACAATATCAGAGAATCGGGAATGGCCCTCATGTCGCTAGTGGGGACATTGAATTGAGTGAGCAGCAACTTACAGAGCTTCCTCCTAAGCCCTAGCGATCGGAAGGAATTCTGTGGAAGGACGTGAGAAACCTTAGTTCTCCCTGGGCCTTATTCCCTCTCCCCTAGGGTTACCTACTAGCAGTTTTCAAATGCACCTATTTGAATGTCCCCTTTACAACATGAGCGTCTCGAGGGGAATCATAGAAAACCCAGGATCTTGTGGTCCCAATGCTGGTGCATATTTGAAAACCAGTTCCATTCCTACTTCTCATGAATCCTATCGCCCAAAATCATATCTTCAAAGGCACTGTGCTGAGCAGGTGGCACTGACTTACCTTGGCGTATCCTGTTGCGCACATGCAAGTGTGTTGACTGAATTGTTGAGGGACGCAGATGTGCTTGCAGTTTCCATTATCCGTTCTACATGGATGGCTGATTGAGGCTGCAATAAATAACCTAGAACTTGTTCAGATTTTCAAAAGCTTATTGCTACATCAAATTTAGCGCCCGTTAGAGAATGAAGTAGAATTGTGGAAGATGGTCCAAACGAGGAGAGAAAATCGGGAGCGGCCATTCGTTCCGCATATTTTACAAAAGATGCACCAGAGAAGGTTCGTTAACCCTTTGACGGCAATGCAGATTTGTACGTGTTGAGGTGGCACCCACTATAGGGTGCCATTATTCCACGAGACGGACCTAGTGGCATCCACTGTTGGGTCCATTGTCTCCAAGGTGAAGGGTATCATTCGCAAGGCGGCATTCACCTAACCATCAGATGCTCTGATTCACAATACTATCGACAAACTGCACGAATGTATGCGACTGACGAGGTATAACACGGGAACCACAGAACCATGTTCAATTTTTCCTGAACGGCCCTCTGAATACCAGAAAAGGAGGTCCCTAGTTCGATTCCTCGTGGTAACAAATTTTTGCATTTCGAGTTGACGTGCCAAAATTCGCGCAAAATGGAGTTAGAACCAACCAGAACAATCAGAACTCCATTTTGCGCGAATTTTGGAACGTCAACTCGAAATGCAAAAATTTGTCACCAAGAGGAATCGAACTAGGGACCCCCTTTTCTGGTATTCAGAGGGCCGTTCAGGAAAAATTAAACATGGTTCTGTGGTCCCCGCATCTGCCCCTATATCATGCAAAAGACCGTTTTCAAAAAGCTCGTCACGCCCTGAAAGACCTTCCTGGTTAGCATCCAATCCAAACGCTTTTCTGTTATCATTCAACCAACTGAGGGCGAGCTTTTCACGAGGTCTATGCCACCGGTAAGGTCATGCTAAGCCACTACGGTCGCTAACCCCGGTGTGGATCGCCCTGATCCCCGAGGAGCCGAGCCTCGGTTTGCAAAGGTACGCTTCTTTGTTTTGAAAATCCTTTGAATCGTACCACTTGCCATAAACACATTCTAGCCAGTAGGGAAGGGTTGCTTAAGGTATCCATTGGTCGCAATTCTAAGATCTCTAGCGCTCTTTCCAAGCATTTTGAGAGTAACGAAGGGAACTAGTCGCTAAGTTCGCGACCCCACAACCTTATTTGTGGGGAGAATAGGTTCAATAATCTTATCGAAGAATGCGTCCTCAAGGAAAAATGAACCAAAGAAAAATCAAGAAAAATCAAGTGCCAACGACTTCAAAATGTTCAAGGATTAAAACTGAGATACTCACAAGCTCGCGGCTGTAGGACTTTGATGTTAACAAGATTCTCGACCTCCTTCTTGAAATGACTGAACTGTGGCGGTTGACCATCACCAACGATCGTCGCCACGTCAATCGAATCGAATGCCGAATCAGCGTAGAATAAACTGAAAGCGGTTAAAAACAAACTGAATATGATTCCTAAAAGAGGTCAAGTTTCCAAAACCAACCGATCGCTGAAAAATGCAATTCCATTAGGTTGTTTTCCCGCGTCGTTGAGGATGTAGTGGCGATCTTGTCCGTCGTAAGTCACAGATGATATCTGTAATGGCACCATTAGACGGTCTTGAGCCCGGCTCTATGACAGCTTCATTAGCTTGAAGAGGGGTGAGGATAGGAGTGAGTTATGTCCATAATTCCTCACACCAAGAAAAGAAGCAGATACAAATTCGAGCCACATATTATATATTAGATGGGCCCCCGACGAGCTGCTTCGGCCAGCTTCTGGAGTTCGGCAGCCTAGACCTCTAGCTATACAACGGTGCCCATAATGAAGAATATGTGTAGTTGAGTTTCCGTAGATAGAGCGTACGCAATAGGAATGATGCTATACGAAGTTGGTTTACCTACTCATTGCAGAACTTATATCCACCTCGTGGATTGAAGCCACGAGAATGCTCTACCATTTGTTAGTCATAAATGTTACCTATGAATTTTTCAGAAAAAAAGAAAATTTTAGAAAGAGTGTCGCAGAACTTTCTTTCCAACCTAATACTTTCGCAAGGTGGAGGTTGTCATTGCCATTGAGTAGCACATGTTGGCTATGACTTCGAAAAAATCAATATCGTGTGCCCTTTTCGATGCTTTTGATGTTATCAGATAGCTAAATGGTGTTAGTAAGTCTGATATTACATCACAACAGGTCCACATGGCTCAATGAGAGTGCACATAAATGTACATTAGGTGTTTAAAACAGGTCACGCGTGACCCATCTGACAATGTCAGTAAGTGACCTGGGGGGTACCCGACAGGAGGCCCGTCGCGCGGCAGGAGCCAGAGTCAGCGTGCTGTGCGATGCAGGACGCATAATGGTAACATTCTGTTTAACTTGACGCGCAATCACAACACTACGCGCAGCAACTCGTCCGCTGACTCTTCCTTCTTGCCGCGCGACGGGCCTCCTGTCGGGCACCCGTGATCAAGCACCAAATAACTCCTATACGCAAACAAATAAGGTATTGGACGAGAATACGTGGTGCAAACTGGTATTGAATAATGCTAAATAGCTCCAGCGCCAAAAATGGCTGCTCCATCCGTATTTAGACACCCCATAAATATATGTTTGAGCATTTTTTTTTGAAATTTTGGGGCAATAAAGGTGGGATATCACCATGTTAGCATGTTTAGAGCGCTTTGTTTAGAGGTGCTTATTACTGTCCGCTCGGAGCAAAGTCACAAATAAACAGTGAACAAAAGCAGTTCTATTCTATTTGGCTCAAATTTAGTAAAATAAGTTATAACGCATCGAACACTTACTCTTCCAGCTTTCGCCTCACTGAAATAAACCCTCTGGTTTGTTCGTGTCCAAGGTGATGTGGTCCAATTCTGTCAAGTCGTTGCTGGCAATGACAAGGGCGTTTGTGCCGTCCAGATTGGCTCTAGCCACTTTCACATCAGCAGCACCACCACCTCTGAAAATATTACTAACTAATAGGGAGAAGAAGCAATCATTCGTCGCCTCTACACTCTTGAAAAATAGGGTGGGTAATGTAAGAAGGCACAGCAGTCACCCATTGGCTTGGGTGTGATCACTTAATCAGCGCCAATTTCCAACGTATTGGGAGAATCGAGGATGTCTTGAAAAGAAACGCATGCATATTGAACGGAAAAATTGCAGATTTGCGGATTCTCTGGGAGAATGTGGAGATCGGAATAGACCGCATCAACGCGTACTAACCTTAGCCTTTTCGTCATTTCTGTTGGCCATTCTTCAGGAAGCTCAGTTTGGAGTTGAATTTATTTGAATACTACCTTTTTCGCGCGATCTCCAAATGGCGAAATCTCCTGATCCACGCGCTGATTTTTGCGGATTTGTTGAATTCTCAAAACGATGGGTCCGAACGCGCTTGAATGGCTTGAGTCGTTGTGCCCCAGCGTCATCGACGACCAAGCAACATTTGAACCCATTAATTTGGCAAATTCAACAACTTTTTGGAAAGGACCGTTGTTCAGGAAATTTTGCGACATGGGGATTAGGCAGGATTGGATATTCAGGGACCACTCTCTAAGTCCTATAGTCATTTTGAAAAGCGTCAAAGAGGATCAAATACGTTAGTAAGGCGTTGAAATTTCACGCTTCGGTCAAGAAGTACTATTGGGTGTGCAATTTCATTGCATTAAAACTTCCAGCGACATTTTCGTTTTCGTTTTCAAACACTGAAACCTCATCTTTCATCAAAATTGAGGTCGATCATTACTGATATTAGCGGAATTCATTTCGAATGGCAAGTATTCGCGGGGCGCTCGTAGTAAATAAAGTACGGGACGCTACAAGTTCGGCACAATTCTAGAATTGTTCTTGAGCGAAATCGCTTAGAAACAGGATCTCACCTATCTAGCCAGAAAAGCAATCCTCTGTCCGAATCAACCGCAATCGACACGGATGTCACAACGGCTGTCTTTGGGTCGAGGCGGAGTCTGAATCGGGGTTTGAACAGATAGCCACGGCTAAGAAACTGAAAACGTATCTTTTAAAAGCTTTGAATTTTGAAGAATTTCATATGGTAAAAACGTCCGAAAAGCTGTTCTTAATACAGAGCTAAACCAGGCTATTTCGCGAAACATACTAATGAGCGATCTGATCAGTTCATCAGCGTATCACTATGAAGATGCCATAAAAATTTAGAAGTAATCAGATCAAATAAGTGTGGGTACCATATGGGTATCTCAGACGCTTGGGGCAAAGACGCGTAAAGTAATCAGGGAATTTCCGCGGAAAAAGCTCCGCCTCCATTACCCTAGAAAAACGATACCCCCTTAGGCCCCTAGCCTCATGAGCATAGCAAAAAGAACGGAACATAAGCGTTAGTTTCGATAATACTAATCCTACACACAAGACAAAATGATCACTCTTTCGTGGAAGATTCCTTTAAGGTATCGTTTTCTGAGGTAATGAGGGCGGAGCTTTTTCCGTGGAGGACTTCTTTTAAACTCAAGGTTCCTGCAGAACAGCCAGTTTGCGACTCAACGAGAGTATTGCGACAGATGACATGGCAATTTATAAAGAGGGACTGGCTCAATGTGTCTCTGCCTTTTTCCACTGTACGGTAGCTTTTGGAATACGCAGTCTGTCCAATCGATAAGTACCAATTAAATTAATCCCCACGAAATCAGCATCACATACCTGTGCACCCACAGTGCGAACTACTTCGATCGTTTGCGAGATCTTGTTTCCAACGTAGAGATTACGGCCATTCCAGTCAAAAGCCATACAGTATGGATCGTCAGGGATTTGTGAAGAGTACAACTGGGTCTGAAAATGCAAAAATTAGACGTGTTCGTCGAGAACAACAGCCAGCGACCATCTGACGAAAATTCTCTCTAGTGGTACGAATAATAATTCAGTATAGGCAAAATATACTATAAATCACTATAAAATATCACCTAAATGAGTAACACATCAATCAGAGCAATTTCAATAATAGTAAATAAAAAACACAAATAAAAAAATCTAACTGGTTCGAGGCATTGATTGATGATCTGTATATGGCGGCATCTGTGGAGATTTGCTGTTAGTGTTCGAGCGATGTTAGTGTGTTCAAGGACGTAGATCTAAAATGTGTAAAATGGGAATTTGAAAGTTGGAAAAACATGGTAAACGCTGCAATCGAGAAGTAAAAATCAGGTGCATGGCGCATCCGTAGGAAATTGATTGGAACAAAGTAACAAAGTATATACATAGTTCGCATCATGCTTCAAGTATGAGATGAAAGGCAGTTGTCACTTACATCTCCAGATTCCGCATCGTATCCGGCATCGAAAGCATTTGCCAATCCCGGCCAATGGAATCATTCCAGCTAATGATGGGATGCCGCTTGGCCTGAAATTTATTTGTTTGTTTGTTTATTTGTTAATGCAAGCGTACATGCGCTACTGCAAAAGTGTAATTACGCGGGATAAACAAAAACAAATATAAACATAAATAAAGACTAGATTAGACGTATAATCACTTTAACAGCGACGTTTTATACTCTTCAAAAAAATGTGATTAAAAATTAGAATGAGTAGTGGCAAAATTGGAGGGATGAAGGTAATGCCCACTGCTAATTCGACCTACAGCTATCAATTGCGTTAATTAACCGAGTACAAAAAAGAAATTCGCACATGCTGGTCATCTTCACGCAAAACACGTTTCTCTCTGTGAGGAGCAGGTAATGGTCTTTGTCCAACACAAATTACTTTCCAGAAGTGTCGAGGCGTTTGCCCATCGGACATCCACAAGAGTATCCCTAGAATAAGTGAAACCCTTGACTGACAGTTCCCACAGGAGAAAAATGTATAAACCAACCGTTGAAGACAGTAGGCAAATATGTGAACAGGGACTGCACTCGCACATGGATTTTCGTCACTTTTTGGGTTTGAAGCACTTGCGATGAGACTGCAGCGAATCGAGAGACACTATAAAAATGAAGATTTTTGATCGACGTTAGCTTCTTTAGCTGAAAGGAATAATTAGAGCATTTTCTAGTTTTACGTGTGAGGATTGGAATTGCAAGAAAACTACTATCTTCTGTGTTTGCGTCACGGCAGGTAGTGGAAGTCAAGATTAGTGGGGTTGGAGCGCGATAATCTCGCTGATATAGAAAAGAAGCTTGATAAAACTCTTCGCAACTTGCTGATATGAACTTGAGGACGCCTTTTCATAGAAGGTATTTTCGGCTGCACATCAAGAGTTTATGGAATGGCGCAAGAGATAGCGATACTAATCGATTCGATGGTTATTGTTTCGGGTGTTAAGGAGTCGCATCGAACACGCTCGCGACGCCCTTTCTCCAAAACGGTCTCTCTTGCCGATGATAAGGTAGGAAACTTAGAGCTCGCGCAGCGTTCGTTTAGAACAGACGTGTACGTGTTACCGAAAATATGCCTTCATTATCGATCTCTCAGGTCTAGATTGCGTTACGGTTGATCCTTTATCGCGAAATAACTTATTTTAAAAAGGGAGCGATTTGCGGGAAGAAAAATTTAAGTTTGAGGTGGTTCTAAACGGAATTTTCTACTGTGGGCTACCCGAGTCGACAGTGGAGTTACTTGCGTTCTTGGCTGGGTATGTCGTCTAAGCTTGGCTACTGTCATTTTAAGAAGGGTCTCGGTAGCTGTGCAATTGAATACAGGGATGTCCATTTAAATAGTTTGCACCAAAATTCTATGTGAGGATGTTTATAGCTTTTTTTCGCGCGATTGGCACCCTATTACAATACCTCGTCCTTATTGGAGGTCGTTATTAGGGTGACAATGCGCAAGCATGAGTCCTCACTGACAAAAGGTAGCGCACTTACAGGGTATCGAATATATATTCTACGTGGATATGATGAAGCTAGTTTTGAAGACAATTAATTCATTATATGACAGATTATAACGTGTGCTCGAAATAAACTCTCACACAGATAGTGCTTATACGGGACATTCAATAAGTATTGTGGGAGATTTCGTGAAATGACATATCTAACGGGCTTTCTGCCGAACTTATCAAATTCGATCTCTCTAGAGTCGGAGCTATACCAAGGGCTACTGATTTATGAGCTCACTTCGAAGACAATTGCACCATTAATTAAAATCAATAGTATTTCATCTAGGACTTAGGGGTGGTTGCACAAGAAAAGTTCTGTGGATGTAGTCCGTCATGCCGCAATTACTACAAGGGGAATGCATATAAGAATGGGTGATATATTGGAACGGAACGACTGCATACCCTGGCCAATACTGATGGGGGCTCCTTCAGAGTAGGTGCAAATCGCTTCGTCGTTATAGCGCGATTTAGGGCGCTCGCATCTGTAAAACGACTGAAGTTCTTATTGCTGAAACACAGCCGATGCATGGGATCTTTAGGAGTAGGAGTCAGGATTCGGGCTCAGGTGATAACATAACGATAAGACATTGGTTGAGGCAGTCCGCGCGGTGCATGGTGTTGATGTACCGATTAGTGGTTGAATGACCCACGTGCGCGCGCGGTAGGTGGCCAGTGAGAGTGCGGAAGTGGTGGCACAGCATTTTGATGGGAGGCCTTTTACAGAAGAAAGCAAGAGATTTCCATAAGAGTTCAAAAAAGAGAATGTCCCGCGCAGGGGAGCCGCGAAGAACGAAGGTCGGTCGACTTTTTTGATTTACCCCAACGGACGAGAAACGTTGGTGTTATTCGGTTTCCTATACAAAGGTGGGGCTGGGGCCAAACGACCCCGCCCGCTCCACTACTTTTTGAGCTGTCTGGCGTTTATAGCCAATAGCCAAATCTGTTCGAGTAATGGCAGGTCCTGGAACAGAAGGGGAAGACGGATACTCTCCGCGGTATGCAGTAAATTGAGAAAGTCAGTCGTATTATGAGAGCGAACTGATCCGACCACCAAGCGAGAAGCTCAACATGCGCCACCCTTCTCCATTGCGTGCATCGGAGAGAAAGGGGCTCACAACTACCGGGGGGGCTCGCACTTCACACGAATCACGGCTTACTGAAGGAAATACAACATTCGATATACGGTATAAGAAGTTTCAAGGGACATTTGTTTAGGGCTGCAAACATATGTGAACTGAAGGGATAGTCTTTTGGCTTGTGCCGACTGTATACGGGGAGTGAACAGGGACGGGCAGTGATTTTGATCGGGGAAAAGGCTTTACAATTATAGGGATACCTTTAAGGGGACGGCGGGTTGGCATAGGCAGGCGAAAATGTGTGTCGAAGAGGCACGCAATTGTTAAGAGCGAATTCTTCATCCAGCAAGCGCTTTTAATCGTGGGCAGTGAACGTAATTCGAGAGGAATACAGCTGAGCTTCTCCATACTCTGAGACCATACGATGGGTCACATTGGTGTTTAGGTCGTCAGTAGATATAGGGCGGGCAGTGAGAGTGCCTATAGGCGCTGGGTTAATCGACCAATAGCTTAATCACGGATGGCCATAGTAGAGCACTCGGAGATCCTCTAATCTCGTGGGTACAGAATTTCGAGGAGTCGCGTGCTGTGGTTTTGGCATAATTGGGAGTGGCGGGCGCTATTCACAGTCAGGTTGAAGGTGTCGAAGGCAGCTGGGTTGCATATACGTTTCACAACGCAAGAATTTGAGAGGGAGTGTTCATAAGGTTGCTGAGCGTCATTCCTTATTCAACTGATGGTTTGAGAAAGGCAATGATTCAGAGTAGTTGAATTGTAATTTGACTACAAAGCCTCTCAATGTTAACATAACTTCGTACTCGGTTGAAAATTGATGTGTACCATATTATAATTGAGAAGGAGTACAAGCAACTGAGTAAGCTGCTGCAATTCAGTAGTTTACTGAGAACACCTTCATGACCCTGCGTTATGAGACGTTAATCGTGTCTCCGATTCACGGAGTGTGGTGATGGTGCATCTTGATGCGGTTAGTGAACAGAAACAGTTACGACGCTGGAGGAGAATGATGTCTTTCATGAGATTTTGTTGTCTGGGTTGTTGAGGCGGTTTTTCAGTTTTTCAGATCTACACAGGCATCAATCTACAGCGATAATGAGACCGTGCGTTAAGCTCTTGACTTAAGGTGGGCGGGCGTTAAGAGTGTCGAGTCTACACGAGAGTTTTAGAAGGGGAACGTTTATTTGCGCGCGGTCAAAGCACAATCATAGCAGGCGCACGCGATGGATCGCGGGGTAATGTCAGGGCTGACTTTTTCACGTAGTGGACAATTGGAGTTCGGTACACACTCGTTGAGTTTAGATAGTTTGAAATTATCGAGGGCGAATAGTGCGCACAGAGGTCAAGTATATCTATGTCAAGGAAATATCGGACTGAATGAAGTGGTTTTATGACAGCAACTGGGGGATACTACAGTAGAGCACAGCGGCCTCTCAAGGGACACCTCGTTCTATTAAAACTCGTCATGCGTCAATTTTTGTCTCTGTATTACGATGGCATTCGTTTAGTGAATTAACTCGCACGTTATTTCTTGCTAATAGGAGTACGCGGGAGCATTTTTGATGAACTAATAGGGGATTATTGGGTTCTTGCTGGTTTCGTGGAACAATTTTTTCGACAATACTTTCAGAGATGGTCTTGGACGAATGAGCTGTTCCTTCAGGTTACAAGGAAGGTTACAGATTTGTTACGGGGGTTCTCAACAATAAGTCAGATCATATACATATGTACAAACACTTCATAGATTCTAACAACTTAAAGTAGGAAAGGTCGGATTTCTGTAATAGTGGACGAAATGATCGGACGTTGAACAATTGTCTCTTTTCTTGA